GTTATTACCTTTCTGCTTGGGAGGGAATTACGAATTCGAAATTGAATAAATTGATAGTGATGGTTCGATTATTAGTGTAGAGTAGCTTCTGGTAATGCGGACTATGCGTCTAATGTGTAATTACAGCTATATCGATTTGATAACAAACCTAAGGACCTTCAATTTATTTCGATAAGTTTTGTGTTTATAGTTTAGCATCTTATGTCTGATGTTTTTTCTAATAAAAATAGCCAGACCTCCACCTCATCTATCACAGCGATCATTACGATAACATGTATAATATTGATTTTTAATAGAAATATTTGAATCAAGCCAAGTAACTCATTTGTATTAAAAAAATTTAAGAAGTTATTCCTTACGCCATTCGCGTTACAGGATATTATTTTTATGTTCTTGTTCAATTTATAAATTTAAACGCAATAACAGAAATAACATTGAACTGGTCATGTTTTGTTTTACAATTTCTTAATTTTGTAATTTATTCAAATGTTAAATTTTTCGATTCTTCAATTGAAAACAAATCGTTTAATTCAGTTTTAGCTTATCTGTTCTGTACCCACCAAATATTTGTGGGATTTTACGTTTGATCCAATTTGCTTGGAATGTGATTTTTGTAATTTTGAAATGTGGAATAATTTGGTTGGCTGCGAATATTCCTTTTCGGCTTAAGTCTATCTCTCATTTCGATGTATTTTAGTCTGCTGGGGCATTGTGGAAAGGTTGACTTATGCTCACCACCATAATTTGCAAATTTCACAAAATTTTTGTTACAGTTTGCTGTAATATAGTTTCTGGCACAATTCGAACAAAATATTTTGACCTTGCATCTACTGGTTGAGCACAATGGACAAATGTCTCTTTTCTAATAACGATCAGGGCATTTTAGACGCCGAGCTACAAAAAAGCTTTTTATTATTTGAGGATCCCTTTTTCCAGCTTCAAAATGATGACTTACAGATTATTCGAAGATGCCTTTTCCCCAATTAGTTTGAAATCTTCTTCTTTGGTTCAGAATAGTTTTATGCCAATAACGTTTTAACTAACTCTTTACATGCGACTTTTTTGTGAGCAGTTCGAGGACGAACTGGCCAATTGATATTCTCTGGATTGAATAGTCCAAGATCTATTATAACGTCACCAAGATAGCAATCGAAATCGGAAAACAGCTGTTTTTTCTCAAGTCTAATGTCAAAAATTTCTACTTTGTTTACGTTTTCATAATGGAAGTCAATTCACAATAATGCATTTTGACAGCAAACTTGAGAGGTATCGATAATCAGCTGGTCTCCCTTGGTGACCTTATTTATAGGCCATGGAATAGTCCTTTTAAAATTTTGCACATTTCATGTCATGGCAATCGAAATCGGATAACAGCTGCTTTTCGATATCTCTTAAGTTTGCTGTCAAAATGCATTATTGTGAATTGACTTCCATTATGAAAACGAAAAAAAAACGAAATTTTTGACATTAGACTTGAGAAAAAACAGCTGTTTTCCCGATTTCGATTGCTATCTTGGTGACCTTATTAATAGATCTTGTTTCATGTAACTACTCAGATGTAAACTTGAGAAGTGTTATCGGAGGTCTTACCAACATTTTTACATAATTATCGATAATTATTTCTTCTGCTTCATTGTCCCCAACAAGATCTATTAACAAGATCTCAAGATCTATTAATAAGGTCACCAAGATAGCAATCGAAATCGGATAACAGCTGTTTTTTCTCAAGTCTAATGTCAAAAATTTCGACTTTGTTTACGTTTTCATAATGGAAGTCAATTCACAATAATGCATTTTGACAGCAAACTTGAGAGGTATCGATAATCAGCTGGTCTCCCTTGGTGACCTTATTTATAGGCCATGGGCCATGCAAGATCTATTAATAAGGTCACCAAGATAGCAATCGAAATCGGAAAACAGCTGTTTTTTCTCAAGTCTAATGTCAAAAATTTCTACTTTGTTTACCTTTTTCATAATGGAAGTCAATTCACAATAATGCATTTTGACAGCAAACTTGAGAGGTATCGATAATCAGCTGGTCTCCCTTGATGATCTTATTTATAGGCCATGATCTATTAATAAGGTCACCAAGATATGGTCTGTTCCAGTACTTTTTTAAGTTCGGGAATGCAAATCTAGTAAATATGCCAATCAGAAGTAGGCATTCCTGTTTACCATTTTTACTCGGCCAAATTTCTCGAATAAAAAGTTTACAAAGAGAACGCCATTTTGTTTTGTGCTCTCTTAAATTTGATTCAATGTTTTACCAGTTTTGTGGGTTGAGGAACGGGTTTCGAGTAAAAAGTTTCAAAACATGTAAAATGAGTACTATAGCAATCGAAATCGGAAAACAGCTGGTTTTTCTCAAGTCTAATGTCAAAAATTTCGACTTTGTTTACGTTTTCATAATGGAAGTCAATTCAAAATAATGCATTTTGACAGCAAACTTGAGAGGTATGGATAATCAGCTGGTCTCCCTTGGTGACCTTATTTATAGGCCATGATTGTGGCTGTCATCATCGATCGTTTGCAGTGGGCGAAAAAATTTTTGATTTTCTGCTCTCGGAGAGCTGCAATGTTTTGTTTTCTTACTCACACTGTGACCATGACTAAGGGCGTTTCCTCCGCGAGCACGTTTAACGACCCTTGCTAATTAGAAAAAAAACGTCTGAACTCGAGAAACGAATGCACAAGAGTGAACCTTCAAAATACTATATAGACAAGTATATAATAGGTTCGTTCGTTTACGCAATAACTCAGTTGTGTTACTGAGTATTTGCAAATTCTTACAAGGAAAAATTTACTCAGTAAGAATTTTCTTGTGCCAACAGCTGATATATAATCATCAATTGAGATATTCTGCAAAATCCTAATTGAGTAAATGTTAGTGGGAAAGTAAATGAACGAACTTAATATGTCTGTTTCAGAACCTACAAGAAAAGCTGCGTCTGTTTATTTGATACTTGTTAACAATTGTTGCTTGATGATGTCTGTTTACTCCAAAGTCCAGTTAATGAGAGCGAAATAAGAGAACTATTTTGACAGTACTACGCTGAGAATTTACTGAATGTTACTGGGTAAATTACTTCTAGTATGATTAATCCAGCACAATTCGATGTGTTTCGATTAGCTGTTAATTTTAAATGTTGACCAAAGTCAAACAATATTTTTTTCCTTAATGAGACTAAAAAAAAAAAGTTCAAGCATTTTAAGTGACATTACGTGCTATTTTTGATGCTGTCTGTTTACTTTTCTCAGTATTATAAAGAAGAGAACAAAAACCGCTTACTCTTTGAAATAGAACTTACTGAGTAAATGTTGCTGGAAAAGTAACCAGACACAGCTAATATTACTACGAGAACAAATTTTCCTTTATGATAATATCGAAAAAATAGTAAAAATTAGAAGATTCTTGCAGTACGACATATTCATTTTATGCCGTTGTTACGCCGACAATATCAAAACAAAAAAAGTGTATGAGAAGGTGTCTGTGGACCTGCGCTCCACTGGAAATAAACGATAATAATCAGATTCAAAACTAAGACATACTGATGAAAATAATGGCATAAATTTACCAAATTTTTGATGTGAAGAAGATTTAGATTTGGGGATTTTTTATTTATTTATTAAACTCAAAGCCTCCTAAGCCAATAATATAACGCATCATTCCAAATAGAAAACTTATATCTAAATACAAAATAATTAAAAATATATTCAATTATAATTGGCTCCCCAGCCATAACCAATAAAACAAAAGAGTGTAAATGGCAAGAAATCGATAACTGTTATGGAAAGTCTAGCACTTACTTGTTTTTGATTGGCAATGCCACCTTTACAAGACAAATGTCATATTTTTTATTCATTTATTTAAAGCAACTATGGACAACTATATATATATATATATATATATATATTATAGTCAAGGTAGTTGAATTTAAAAGTTTGTCGTACTTGGTATTTGTTATGACTACGACTTTTTTTAATAGATTTTATGTATAGCATACGACACACAAAGTACCGATATTTGTAATAGATTGCCGTGATAATAGTGAATATGCAGCTCTGGCAAAGATAGAATGATTCCATTAGCATCCTTCTATAAACATGATTTACAAATTTTATTAAATTAACATTTCAAAAATTATGTGTATTGTTAATAGCATGGTACAATTATAAAAGGTAACAGCAAATCCCAGCTGATTTGATTCCAACGTAATACTAGTGTCAATATGAATTTGACAAATTATGCTTTTAAAAATCACCCAACAGGAAAATTGGGAACGCATACAATTTGAAATTGTTCTTTATTAATGTGCTCCCGTATTCAATTTACTCAATCTGCCTGCTGGGAAAGTTTACAAATCTTTCTAAGGAATTACTCGCTATTCCAAGCATTGGCATATGTGTTACACATATATATGACAATGGCTCAATTAAAGGAAAGATGTGGAAGCGATAGAAATATAAATTTGATAGATTTTCATTCATGTTTTTCAATTTTTATTTTGAGGATTCGAAAATATTCCATTTTCAAAATAAAAATAATTTGATGATAATTTGTTTGTTTGTTTACATTTTTCTGTCAAATTAGTTGACACTAGTAGAACTTACAACAACAAATTTCCATGTGGTTGTTGTATCGTTTTTTGTACAACACTTGATGTTACCTTTTATTATTATACCATGTGTTAATAGAAAAAACTATAGCAACACATGCTCAAATATCGTACGTCCAATATTTCATACCTTTCGTTCTCCACTGAATCTGATTTTCAAAATAAAACAAAATATATTTTTAAAGTAGATTAAATCGATCGATTCTAATATTTTTGACATTTATTAAGCGAATACTAGAACAACATGCATATTATGTCATCATAATCATCGTTTATGTATGAATAATTTTATTGCGTCAAAAGTGGACAGCAGTTATGAGAGAAATAAATATCTAAATAAATACACACAACAATTCATGGCATCCTCCACTACTGCCCTTCTTCTCAGTACAAAGAATAACGAGTTATGCCAATTTTGGAGAGATTATCACATGAGGGCATTTTTAAACCTTGAGCCTGGGCGAATTGTGCACGGCTGCCAAAACTGCGTGCACGTGCCATCATTGCCTCACCTGCAATACAAAACGGAGAAGAGAACATGAACATGTTGTTAGCCGTGTGTGAAGACGAGTCAAGTCTATAATGTGATAGTCCAATATAACAAAATTTGGAAAGCGTTTGACTTACGATAGCTTCGCTCGCGGAAACAATGCTGTTTCATGGTGTAGACGTAATCTTCTTCAACGGAATTTTCTAAACGTGCCAATGAACCCTGATAGTCATTCTCGAAATTCTCCTTAACGTAGTATGGTATCGACAAATGCTGTGTTTGGCGCCGCACATTGAATTTGCTACAATTGTACGAGGGAATACATTGTGAGAAATAGTAATGTGTCACATGGCAATTGATTGAATTCCAAATGTTGTCAATGTCGACGAAGACGACTGTGGGCATTTAATGCCTGTGGTCATCATTTCAACATTCAATCAATTACCAAAATAGGGCACTAAAACACTTACTTGGAATGGGATAAACTATAGACGGGATCGGTTGAGAAGAGCGACATAAACATTGACAGCATTATCATGACAAGTAGCAGTACAAAGACCAAGCTTGGTTGTTGGCCGTGTTCTTGGGGCTGGCGCTGATTGGCCGGTTGATACGGACGACGACGGTATGTACCCTGAGATGGTGGATAATTCCCAAAGAACATGTGAAATAATTCTTCGGCCGTAAAATCTTCATTAGCATGATACGAAGCTTCCGAAGAACTGTATTGTTCGTGATGCCGATGATGATGGTGGTCTCTATCGTTGTGATAGAATTGATGATACGAGGATGAAGTAGATTTGTGATAGGCTGTAGTACCCCCCGTACCACTTATGTAATTGCCACCAGCTAAATCATATTCCTTACGTTTTCTAACATCGGTTAGGACATTCATGGCATTTCCCAGGGTTTTGAAGGCTTCTGCTGCGCCTGGGGCGTGATTTTTGTCAGGATGTAGATGTAATGCCAATTTCTTGTATGACTTTTTAATTTCACTCTCTGAAGCACTGCGCGACACAGACAAGACATCATAATAGTTGTGACAACTGTTTATTTTCTTGACCAAAGTCAATTGTTCGTTTGTATAGTCGATTCGAGTAGACCCAGCCTCCGGGTGACGCGCGTTGTCCGATTCGCTTTGTTTACGCTGGCGCAGCGTAGTTGCCTTACTCTCAGTCCTGTTGTTCTTTAAAGTATTGAGTTTCAATTTCATTATTAAATCCTGCAGCTCCTCGGCCCTAGAATTAGGATAGCGGTGCTTAGCCGTATCCAGTAGATTAATGGCCTGTTCATAGTTTCCATTATTCATTTCAAGCAAAGCTGCGTCGATCATTTGCTGCAACTCTTCGCTTTCATGCATGTGCTGTCCATTTGTGTCAGTTCCCATGTCTCCATCTCCTTCGTCATTGTGATCCATAGAATTGGCAGCTTGTTTCATTGAAGAATAACACAAATATTTTGTTTACGTTCTGTTTCTAATTTCATTTTAATTTTTTGGTAAATAGTACATAAATTGAAGGAATATTTTGTTTATCGAATGTCAATGAACAAAAACGATAATGAAGTTACTTTAATAATCAAATATTCACTAGAGTGGCACAGAGCAAAACTACGAGTTATGAGCCGTACACGAAAATGAAACAAGCACGACTTTAATGATTTGGCAAATATATAAGGATAAATTTAAAGAATACAATGAGATATGTATATAGTACACAATTGCAAAATAACACTAACAGAATGTTCACTATCATATCTTTAATACACTTCGGGAATCCTTATTATTGTGTTACAAAGTTACAGTTTTTGTTTAAATTCCAAGAAAATATCGATAATCCGGAACTCGCAAATCCGGATTGCTTTTTTACAACTCATAGCATAGCATATTCTATAATTCGGATTCTTTGACTCTAAAATCCGGATCGTGAAGATACACTAAAATCATTGCATATGGTACCAAAATATATAATGTTCATATTTTTGCAATGAATAATTTTATTTTTTTTAGTAGAACGTAAAATTATATAAAATTAAAATTTGCAAATTTGAGAGATTTTGTTACGCCGCTTCAATTCCGATTGGCAAAATAACAAGAACTATACTGTACTACTTCAGCAGATTTTTAACTTTTTACTATTTTATAAGTTCAGCATAGCAATTTCAAACAATTGAAAATTGAACTTCTTCAATTTCAATTACACGAGAAACAATTTTTGGTAAAATAATGTTGATTTAGCTGCCTTGTATATAGCTGCACTTTGTATTTAGCTGCCCAAAATACGCTTTATGGTACTTTTTCTCATATTCCCTCTCACATATTTTGTGTTAGCGAACAATTTATAACTGTACATTTAAGATAACAGCCCCTTTGCACTTTTTTACTCACCGCACAGAAAAAATGTAAGTGTTACTTGTGCATGTAAGCCGAAACTACTGTATATTGTACTTATAACATCGTATCATATACATATTCCCAAATCTGAGCTTTTCTAGGTTAGTTTTTCGGTGTATAAATTTAAGAATCGGAAAGTGTGATGTTTTATTTCAAAAATTTCATTTCTACAAATTTTAGTTGAACAAGAACATATGGGAAATTACAAAATTCCTTTAAAGTTCCATAAAAAAATTTAAAAAAAATGTTTGCGATAAGGAAAATATTCTGATTCAAAATTTGTTTGCTTTCACAAATTCGGATGCTGCGCACAAAAGTTATAGCGGTTTTAAATCTTGTATTTCAAACATAAATTATTTTCTATTTATTGTAATTCGCGAATTTCTTCACAAATGGTTTAACACATTTTTTTAACACATACTAGTCAAATCACATTGAAATACGGTTTAATGGTCGCGAAAAAACAAAAAAAAAAACTTGAAAATATCTGAAAATAAAATAAATTAATTTTTGAATTGCCACAACATGTTTTCTTTCAATTTTTGATTTTTTAGTATTGTTAAGGGAATACGGTTTTGCCTTAATCTTCTAAAATATATGACGCTTTCTTCTGTAAATTCTTTTAAATGATTGTTAAATATCGGTAAATCCTCTGTTAAGAGTTTTGACTTTAAAAATGACCAAATATATTCCAGTACAGCATACAGTTCGCGTATTAGTTGAAATCAGTTGATGCGCGTGCGGTTTTCGTATAAACCGAATAAATTTCTTCCAATAATTATGCATTTTTCGAGGTTTCATTAAGCGGCCAAAGTGTGCAGCTCGATGCACTTTACTATGCAAAAACATTAAAAATGACTGAAAATGGCGCAACGTGCATACGATTTTTATGCGCATCCGATTTCAGTAACCTCCTATGAAAATACACAAAAGGACGCCTATTTTAAACGGATCGGTTAAGAACCGCGGATGTGCCCCCACAATCGATTTTGGATGAAATACGCATATTATTCGCGTTTCGATATATTTTTGACCTATTTTCACACAGATTCGCGAATATGATAACACAAGAATGAATGTATGTGAAATCAATTCGAAGAAAAACGCGATTATATACGCGAATTTGTCAAAATATTTTTTTGCAGATTTTCCCACATTCAAAATGGATGGGCTCATTAGATCCGGTACGTAAAAAACTAAAATCACGCGGGGTTCCACGGAATTTGAATGGCCTTTTTTAATTTTAGACTCAAAAAATTTGTTTCTTATAAAAATTTACGCACTAAATGTTCGTCTTTTGAACCCAATCGCAAAGTAGCTACGGTGAGCACATTCATGAGACATACACTAAACGAAGCAAAATCACGAGTTCGACAATCCAATAATTAGTTTAGGCCATTATCTGGATGCGCGTTCTAATTATAAGAAAAATTCAAAAAACAATGAAAATCCGGCTTCAAAATGTCAGCATCCATTTTGGGTGGATGCAGTGATTATATCGAAAAATCATACATTAGAACCATATTGTCCATGGGGTATTCTGCAACTTTGTCACTGATCACATGTGCGTGCGTTGTGTAGTGTAGCCACAAATCAGGAAGTAACACAAAAAAACTCGTTGGCTTCAACACATGTTCGCCCATTCTTTTACATTACCATCACAGCTTCCTCGCCAATATTTTAAAATTTTGACAAGAACACTTTATTTTATAGAAATGAATTTAAATTATATGCAATATGATCATATTTCGCGAGTTATAACCTTGCAAACCTCAGTTTCAAGGAATTTAAAAGATTTCTGTAATTTCCCATATATAAGTCGAGCTCTTTAAATGAGCATATTGTATAAAATGCATGGTAGAAGATATTTTCATCAGTTAAATTGTCTGTTTCTTATGGAACATTGTTGCGTATCTGTTCTAGGCATGCTAAAGGTTCAAGTGGATGAATACCTAGGAAGTTGTGAATATATTATTTGCACAGTTTATCTGGATCTCTAAGTTAAAATAACAAAGTGTGCAGAAACATTAACCGAAATTTTGTTTACTTTGTTTATTTTTATTATCTTATTTGGCCAAAATTTCCAAACGGGTATACAAATCGACAACCAAGTTAAATAATAAATGCAATTGTGAACATCTGTTACAGGTTTTGCAAAAGCACACACTTTTCCCACATAAAATTCGAAATGGGGATAGATAACCAAGCTACGTACATCATGTGTTACTAAGTGACATTTTTTCAGACATTACATGTTCAGTTACGTTTTATGAGTGTGTGTGTGTGTGTGTGTGAGGGAGAGAGTCGACGTGCTTTTATTACACCATTTTCCCTGATACTTAAATATTCAAGTTCCCGGCAGGCAGTGTCAATCCACCACCAGCCGCCGGTACCACCTCCACCCACTACTAGGCAAGCAAAAAATCATCACCGTCTTTAAACTTCACACTACCGTTGTTTATGTTTATGTGTAAATAAAGTAGCAAACGCAAAATAGGCAAAACATAGAAAGGGAAAAATTGGATAGCATTTGACAACAGACGGAAAGAATTCCACCGATAGCAAAGTTATCGCTGTGTGTGGAGACAGGCAGTTAAGCTGGATGGCTGACAAACCAACCCACTTGGTTTGTATGTTGGCATAATCATGCTCAACAGTAGCAGTACCAGAAAAATTCTGTTGGTAGTATTAGTATGTTCATATCTCTGTTATTTTATTGTTATTTGGCATTCATTGTTTCCATTTCCATCACAAAGAGAACGAAAGCGATGATGTCGACGACGATAGTCATTCGTCGTAATATATCCGTAAAAAAATCGTTGTACAAAGCGTGCATTAGGATGTTCAAGTTTATAATATATCGCAAGTATTATTTACTGATTTCTAAAATAATTCACATTCGAGAGGGGTGTTTGTAGAAAATGTATCCGTATTTTTAAAATACGATCTAGCAGAATTTTATTCAATTATCTAATTAGCTGTTGCTACAAGGTTACTGCTTTTGTTTACATTAAAAGTTGCCGTTTTTACTTGCTCCATTAAATGTGATAATTTATTTCGACTATGGAAAATGCTTAGAAGCAATGAAGCAGATGCCATGAAGAAAATCAAAATAGTTTTGATTTTGAAAATGAAACCCTTTCAATCTGGTGAATTTTATTCATTTTCAAAGTTGGCAGTAAATAATTTTGAGTATACAAATAATAAAATTGTGACGAAATAAAAAAGAACTGAATTTGAATTCAAAATGTGATTTTTTTGGATAAAAATCGATTTTTTGGAATAGTGATTGAAGAGTTTGCCATACACTAGTCAATCTCACATATACAAAAAGGCAGGGACCGTAACGGTTATAACTTATATCAAATCAGGTAAAAAATAACTGTTATTATGTGACCTAAATAAAAAAAATCCACTTTAATTATTTATTTTTTAACGGAAAAAATAAACGTTGATTTTTAACTGTTAAAAATTATTTTTATTTTTTCCGTCAAAAATAAAAGTCTTTTTGGGATTTTTATTTTTTCCGTCAAAAATAAGAGTCTTTTTGGGACTTTTATTTTTTCCGTCAAAAATAACAGTTTTTTTGGGACTTTTATTTTTTCCGTCAAAAATAAAAGTCTTTTTGGGACTTTTATTTTTTCCGTCAAAAATAAAAGTCTTTTTGTGATTTTTATTTTTTCCGTCAGGAAATAAAAGTCTTTTTACGTAAATAAACATATAGAGTTTGGTACCAGTTATATAACCTTTGACCTAATAGTCAGGGGAATGATTCTTTAATTTATATTCATGATTTGGTACACTAGACTATTTTTTAAAAATTTATAACAAATATTTTTTACCTTTGATCTTGATTACTTATGTGTACACTTATTGTAATAAGGACAGAGATTTATAAATTGTAATTTTATAACTGATTACAAGTTGTATAAACTTCTTTACATAAAAAAAGTTTTATTTCCTGACGAAAAAAATAAAAATCCCAAAAAGACTTTTATTTTCTGACGGGAAAAATAAAAGTCCCAAAAAGACTTTTATTTTTGACG